AGCAAAAATTCTACCTTGTGAGCTGCTGGCATTAAAGTTGTGAGCAGGTGATTTGGCTACTGCACAAATTTGTTTGCTCTGGAGCCCTACTTCCTGAGCCAAGACATAAACGTGTGTGAGCCGGAGGCTAAGAAAAACTGTGAGCTGGCTCACACGAACTCAGCTTAGAGGGAACACTGCTTGCAAGTCTGTCTGAAATAATCTGATTTCTGGTGCAGCATGTTGAGGGTCACGATTTGAATATACGAAACATCAGATCTCGAAACCTGCAGCCAAAGATGGAGATGGTCATTCAGATAATCCATAATCTCTTTCCTCTCCCTGTCCACAGGCTCAAAGTACCCAAACTTCCTTGCCTGATCATTCTCTTTCTGTCTAAAGCCCGCTGCCTCTTCTGTCCCTGGGGCCTATATGAGGCTTCTGTCCCTGTCAGATTGATCTTCCAGGTCTCTTAAAGAATCTGAGCTGCTTAACATTCTGTTGCTTCCTCATGAAGAGTTAGAACGCTTGTAAACATTCCGTGACACCACAGCAGGCAGCTAACAGCCAATTATTAGCCTGTTACATATTCCAAATAGGTGATGCAGTTTGTCGTACTCAGAGGCCAACTTGTGAGACAAAAGGATTCTTGCGATTAGAGTATGTGCATGTAAATAATCTTATGCAAATATGTTTCGGCTACATGATCCTATTGGGTAGGACGAGAGAGAGAGAGCTGTCCCTGGAGAAAGTTGATTTATTAGATTTCTATTCCGCCCTTTCCCAAAGGCTCAGGGCGGATTACAACAATAAAACAAAAGCCGGATATAAAAATACATAATACATAAGATAATAAAACCGGACACCGGCCATTAGGGTTGCCAAACCCCCCGGTTTGCAAGGGGTCCCCCGTTTTTTGGGGGGTTTTCTACCGGCCGCTGGCCAGATAGCTGGCGGGGGAAGCCCCACCCCCAACACCCACAGCCACCCATCTCTCTCCCTTAAAGTGTGTGGAACCCGTGTTTCCTCCCAAGCCTGATCTCCGCAAGCTTGCAGGGAAATGCCAGCTTCGTGCTCTTAAAAGGGAAACGCGGCTGCTCTTAAAGGGGAAACGCCGGCTCCTGCATTTAAAAGGGAAACGCCGGCTCCTTTAAGTGCAGGGAACTGCCGTTTCTGGAGATCTGGCGCACGGGCAGGTCGGGGGGGGCAGACGTCCCCAACGTGATGTCATCATGTCGGGGATGCCCCGCCTCCTCCAGGAACGCCCCCAAAGTCCCCTGCTGGGGGTGGAAGATGGACTTGGCAACCCTACCGGCCATTCATAAATTATCAATGAAATATAGAGAAGTGAACGGGAGGATGAGTTCCGGGAGGGTCAACAGAACAAGATCAGGCGAAGGCCTCCCTGAACAACACTGACTAGCAAGTCCTGCGGCAGCCCGGAAGGTCCCGCAGGGCTCGGACCTCGCCCGGCAAGGCATTCTGCCATGACGGGGCCAACGTGGGAAAGGCCCTTTTCTTGTCGGTAGCCAAGCGGTCCTCTTGGGGCCCCAGCACCATAACAGGTTGCGTGGTGATGATGATGAGCACAGCATACGAAGGGGACCATAGTGAAAGAGCTGGTCCCTCGGAAACAATGCTCCCAGGTCCTCTGACAGCCGCATTCCATTGGGAACACACCCCCGGGGTGCCCTCCGTTGGTGCAGACGCACGGATCCGTGGGGGCCACTTCCAGCATCTGCAGGTCCTCAGAGCCTCTTTGAAATGATGACTTCCCCACACAGACAGACAGGACATTTGTTTTGGAGAGAAGCGTATCAGCTCTGTGTGTGGCCTAGTGATTGGCAATACATATCTTGAGACGCCCCGTCAGTGTGGCCTGTTCGTGAAACAGGCACGTCTGTTTATTTCACTGCTAGGACTCTCTTGTTGCTTGCTTGCTTTTGAAACTAGGCGCTTATATCCTGGTCACATCTCCTCTGTGCTTTTGTGCTGCAAATGACTTTCAAGCCATTAACAAATGACAGTGATATGCAAAAGGAGAAGCAAGCTGTAGATTAGCTTAAAAGAAGAAAATTACCAACAGTCTGTGGGCTCCAACATTTGATTTGTCGGCTATTGGTGACTTGAGTCCAGTGGCACCTTTAAGACCAACAAAGTTTAATTCTGGGTATCAGCTATCGTGTGCATGCGAAAGCTAATACCCGGAATTAAACTTTGTCGGTCTTAAAGGTGCCACTGGACTCAAACTTTGTTCTACCGCTTCAGACCAACACAGCGACCCACCCGAATCTATTGTTGACTTATTTGCAGCGTCCTCGCTAATACAAAATGTGACCATTTGTGTTCCAACAGCACTGCCTCGTCTCTCTGTCCAAAGAGGAGACAGCACTGCAGTTATGGCAGATGAGAGATGCCTGTAGTTGTGTTGGGTTTTTGATAGTGAGATATAGAAAAATTGGTATTTAGCAGAGATAAGATAGCTTAGCAGTGCCAGAGTAAAATAATTCAGACTGAGAGTCCGTGTGTGATTAAAATAGAAAGTTTTTACTACATTCTAGCATAGGGAAGGGTAACTGGGATGAAAATAACAACGGAGCTAAATAGGCAACCTCCTTACACTACAAAGACAAGACTAGAAGAGAGAGTAATGGCTGCTCTTCTTTCTTCTTCTTGAGAACTCCAAACAAAGACGGGAAGAGGAGCCATAAAATGCTAAAACACTTTGAGACACTTTCATTCCAATCAAACTCCTAGATCAGGGAGAAAATTCCCGGGCTTCTACTCCTAAAAAAGCATTGGTTACATGAAAAACATGTGACTTCCTGTGAGCAACACAAACAAACATTTAACCCCAGATATACTGAGTGTTATCGACTTGTAATACCCAACACCCCTTCTCAAGTTATAACACAAAAGTCATGCAAATTCAAACATTCACGAAGAGTCTCAAACCGTTGCTTGTCAAGCGGCTTGGTCAGGATGTCGGCAATCATCTGATCAGTAGGACAGTATTGGAGTTCAATCAGTCCTTGGTCTTGCATCTCTACCCAACAAGTTGTGTAGCTCAATCTGAATGCAGTTGCATCTTAGAGCCAGTCTGGTGTAGTGGTTAAGTGCGCGGACTCTAATCTGGGAGAACCGGGTTTGATTCCCCACTCCTCCACTTGCACCTGGCTGGCTGACCTTAGGCAAGCCGTTGTTCTGATAAGAGCTGTTCTTGAAAAAGAGCTGTTTCTGTCAGAGCTCTCTCAGCCCCACCTCCCTCATAGGGTGTCTTCTGTTGTGGGGACGGGGAGGGAAAGGAGTTTGTAAGCCGCTCTGAGACTTCCTTGGGTAGTGAAGGGCATGAGGTATAAATCCAATCTCCTCCT